ATGAGCCACAGGGACGTTATTAAGAACTTTTTCAGTGTCAGAGTAGTTAACAGATGGAATGCATTAGGCAGTGATGTGGTGGAGGCTGACTCCATACACAGTTTTAAATGTAGATATGATAGAGCCCAGTAGGCTCAGGAATCTGTACACCAGTTGATTGACGGTTGAGAGGCGGGACCAAAGAGTCATAGCTCAGCCCCCGCAAGCACAATTAAGTGAGTACATCTTGCTTCACAGAGAGACCCAGAGACACTTCAAGATGTTACACGACCAAATTCCACATTCACTCTAAACATATATCACCTACTGGCTACTCATGCAAGGTGGCTAAACACAAAGCCTACATAATTGTAACTTATCATTAAACAACGTTGATTTCCAATAAAATTTAAGTAATTAGCTCAACAAATTAATGAGCAGTTATGCTAAGGCTTCAAATGAGCTGATGAAGGATAAATATTCTTAGTTTGATGTTTCATTTGCAGCATTAACACCATTCCAATTAACCCAAGTTTTAGTGAAAAATGAAGAAAGTGCTAGAGAGAGAGAAAATTTGAGATAGAGACATGAACTGAGAAGCAGAAGGCAACGTTCCCCAGAGAGCGAAGCCTCGGTGAGCAATAGATTTTCCAACCCACATCAATAGCATTCACGAAGTTCATTACAAACTAAATTTCTTTTCCCACCGGAGATGGAGGATGGAGTCCTTCCAGCTGCGCAAGGCTGGTTCTGTACTCTCCGCCATCACTACCACAACTACCACCAGACAGTCACCACCACCACTACCGTGATCCCCCCCCCCCATTACTAGTGCTACCACCATCACTACCGCTGCCCCTATCATCCTTACAGCCTCTGCTACCACCACAAAATCTACCATTACTACCATCATAACCACTATCACCCCCACCACCACAATTATTCCTACCACCTTTAACACCCTCACTGCTATCGCTACCAATATTATCTCATGTTTTCTGGTATGTCAAGAGGAGAACAAGCCGGACCATGATATACTCTGTCCGCTATCATCCTGTCCGGATGATGTCCGCTATCATCCTGACAGGATGATAGCGGACAGAGTGTATCGTGATCCGGCCTGTACTCCTCTTGACAAACCAGAAAACATTCTAAGGAAACTACTCCAAGCTTGTACTAAAGAGGTACCCTTCTTGAGCCCACATGAGCACATGTATAAGCAAGTAGATGGGGTCACCATGGGTTCTCCCCCTAGGTGTCCTGTTTGCGAACTTCTACATGGGTACCATCGAGGAGAAGGTCTTAGTCGACATGGACTTGAAACCTGCCGTATACTGCCAGTATGTTGACGACATTTTTACACAGGTACCTGATGTCAGACGTCTGCAGGAGCTGAAGGAGGCATTCGAGCGGAATTCTGTGTTGAGTTTCACTTATGAGATAGAGAAGGATGGGAAGCTGCCCTTTCTAGATGTAACAGTCACGGAAAGGAGCGGAGGCTTCCACACTGCAGTCTACAGTAAGGAAACAAACATAGAAATGTGCCTCAATGCCAATAGTGACTGTCCAGACAGGCACAAGAGGAATGTTGTCAATGCTTACATCCACCGTGCTCTCAGTCACAGCTCAGGATGAAAGCAAGTCGATGAAGAACTCTTTAGGGTAAGGAAGGTCCTAGTCAACAACGGCTTCTCTAATAGTTTTGTTGAAGACATCCTAAAAAGAGAGGTAAAACGCCTTGCAACCTCTGAGGAGTCAACTAACACAACACATGTACCCCCTATTAGACTATTTTCAAGGAACCTCTTTTCGTCACTTCATAAAACGGGGGATCTGGTCCTGAAAGATATTGTTAACAGGCACGTTATCCTTACAGACAAAAAACAGAAAATACAATTGACGATTTACTATAAAATAAAAAAAACGGCCAACCTACTCATGAAAAACCCTCCAGACACAAAGCAGAATGCCTTGAAGGAAACCAACGTCGTCTATGCCTTCAACTGCCCACTTGGGGACAGTAAGCCCCAAAGAGTTCAGTATATAGGCAAGACAACAACATCTCTTTCCAGGCGATTACCAATGCATAAACAAGAGGGCTCCATAATGAAACATATGGCCTTGTATAGTAGGCTCAGAAGTGCGTTCTGGATACTAGGTACGACATATATATATATATATATATATATATATATATATATATATATATATATATATATATATATATATATATATATATATATATATATATGTCGTACCTAGTAGCCAGAACGCACTTCTCGGCCTACTATGCAAGGCCCGATTTGCCTAATAAGCCAAGTTTTCCTGAATTAATATATTTTCTCTCATTTTTTTCTTGTGAAATGATAAAGCTACCCATTTCATTATGTGTGAGGTCAATTTTTTTTTATTGGAGTTAATATTAACGTAGATATATGACTGAACCTAACCAACCCTACCTAACATAACCTAACCTATCTTTATAGGTTAGGTTAGGTAGCCGAAAAAGGTAGGTTAGGTTAAGTTAGGTAGGTTAGGTAGTCGAAAAACAATTAATTCATGAAAACTTGGTTTATTAGGCAAATTGGGCCTTGCATAGTAGGCTGAGAAGTGCGTTCTGGCTACTAGGTACGACATATATATATATAATTATATATATAATTATAATTATAAAATATATATATATATATATATATATATATATATATATATATATATATATATATATGTCGTACCTAGTAGCCAGAACGCACTTCTCAGCCTACTATGCAAGGTGGCGATCAGTGACCGGTCTGAGGTTTAAATCGCTAACCTATTTTATTTCTGACCATTTATCATTAAAACATGACCACTATTACCCTCCTTTATCAACCTTGTAGAAAAAGTGGTCTTGAACCTTTTTATGTGGGGATGGGGGCAATACATTTTGCTCTTCATCCTGTTGACATCAGTGAAGACTGCCCTTTGCTACTTGAGTTCAAAAGTAGCTTCCCTCTTCAATTTTGGATCATAAATAGCTCCCCTTGTTTCTGTGTACCCCAATGTGTCTGTTCCCTGCACTTACGCCCTGAAATAAATTAAGTGCCACTTCGCTTCGCCTAGAAGCCCAGTCTATTTTTGACTTACCTTTCTCAATTTTGTTCCTACCACGGCAAGAGGGAGGAAAACCTTAGCTTATGACCTACATCAAGTTACCTTCTTGCCCTTCTTATAAGATGAGGAAAGAAACTAAAAAAAAGGACCTGTGAAAGCAGACGAGGTGAAGAGTAGATCTTTATCGTTGATCTACTAGCAACATGCAAGGACATCAACGATAAAGAGATAAGAAGAGAAGTGAGAGAAAGGAAGACAGAGATATCTCCTTCTATGAGGAGCAATAGTGAAGGGCAGAGGATGAAGGATGCTTTTATAGCTAGCTGAAACACGTGTTATAGAAATACTGGCACTTGTGTACCAGTAGCTTCCTTGACTGCAGAGTATTCTTGGAGCAAAGTATAACAAAACTATTACCTAAGGGGAATTAATCAATTACTTTTCAAACTGAGGTTGTTCACTGGGTCGTGGGAGATTGTTCACTGGGTTGTTGAAGATTGTTCACTGGGTCGAGGGAGATTGTTCACTGTGTCGTTGAAGATTGTTCACTGGGTCGAGGGAGATTGTTCACTGTGTCGTTGAAGATTGTTCACTGGGTCGAGGGAGATTGTTCACTGTGTCGTTGGAGATGGTTCTTTGGGTCGTGAGAAATTACCCAATGGGTCGTTGGAGATTGTTCACTGGATCGTGGGAGATTGTTCACTGGGTCGTGGGAGATTGTCACTGGGTCGTTGGCGATTGTTCACTTGGTCGTGGAAACTTGTGTACTGGATTGTGGAAAAGACAAACAACGAATTTGTATCATTAAAACAAATAATTGTTTCAGGTAAGCAATTTACGTTTTTTGTATTTAAGTGGTTCAATAAAGTTGTCATGGGTGACGTCCTACACACCCTTCCAGTTGTTGGACGACGATACGTGTGTCAACCTTAAGATTTAAGGAGGGAGCGCTGCCTCAGTAGGAAAAGTTGATAGATATTGGCTCTTTCCATGATTTTTTTTATCACATTATCTACGAGGGAATTCAATACTATTTTTTATCCAAATCATATTTCAGCCTTCTCCTTATCTTTCACCTCTCTCTCTCTCTCTCTCTCTCTCTCTCTCTCTCTCTCTCTCTCTCTCTCTCTCTCTCTCTCTCTCTCTCTCTCTCTCTCTCTTTTTCTCACAACTAGGAGCACTCTCCAACTCAGTCAAACACAGACTCTTGGATCGCGAGAGAAGCATGTACATTGCATCTCACCCCTGAGAGCTGGCCACCACGAGTCTCCAGTATATGCTCCAGTCATAATATTACAGTAAGCAACACTCCCCAATGAGCGGCTCCTGTGGGATCAGCCCCCAGGAGCCGCTCATCCTATTTCAGACGATCAGCTTTACCCAAGATAGAATTCTGTTTTATCATTTACACAGGTGGGCTGATTCGCTTAGGAGAAGGGCAGTTATCAGAGACCTTAACTAAAATCTTAGAGACCTGAACTACTATTTTAGAGACCACTACCAGCACAGACTACATCCATTTTAATTACTTATTTGTTCTTGTTAACTCAACTGCCACTTTAACTACAAGTACTACAATTACAACTACAACGACTGATACGCCTCTCTTAACTATTAGTACTTCAACTACTGGTGTTACTATTTATTATTTTCTATTCAGCTACTACTTCCAATGCTACTCGTGACTAAAAAAGCCACTACTAAAGTCGCCGTGAATTCTTACGTTTCTTCACAGTTACTGTCCTCTCTCCCTCTCGGGGTACTCGGTAGTGCTTTCCTCCAAGGTCAACCATTTTCCTCATTCACCAGTTTGCCTTCGTTGACTACCACCACCACTACCACCTCCGCTATGCTGTTAGTGGTGGTGATGATGGTAGTGACCGTGTCAGTGGCCATCAATGCCTCTACTACCATCACTCCAACACCCAATGCCAATACTACCATCACCACCACAATCAATGCCACTACTACCATCACCCTCAACAATCAATGCCACCACAACCATCACTCCAACTATCAATGGCACCACAACCATCACTCCAACTATCAATGGCACCACAACCATCACTCCAACTATCAATGACACCACAACCATCACTCCAACTATCAATGGCACCACAACCATCACCTCCACAATCAATTCCACCACAACTCTCACCTCCACAGGCAATACCACCACAACCATAACCTCTACAATCAATGGCTTCATAACTATCACCACCTCCACAATAAATACCACTACAACTATCGCCCCAACAATCAATTTCACCACAATCATCACCCAACAAGCCCCATTTTCAACAATAACTGTCAGCGCCGAAGGGGAGAGTTCCCGCCGCCCACAGCGCCCCAGCCGCTGTGGACGGTGCGTCGACAACTCAACCGGGAAATCTTATTTACGTCAGCCAGGAAAATGACTTTTAGATTTTTTTCAAAGGTCTGGGAATTTTTCTGAGATTTTTTTATCGTCGTTGGTCAGAGCCTGAAGAGCGCAAGGCAATTTTTTATGTTTGAGGTTTGTTATTAATTTGTTTGCAAATGTGAATAAAGTGGGGAAAATCGCATTGTTGAGAGGGAGCGGAGAGACTGAAGGTAAACTATGGAAGCGATTTTCTCTTTTCAGTTGTTGAGGCGTGTTTCGTTATCAATTTAACTTCGTTTTTGCTTTAAGCTCATATGAGGTATTCAAACATCTGTTCGCTATATCCCACAACGCTCCACCACCTCCCATAACGCTCCACCCCCCCCCCAACGCTCCACCACCTCCTATAACGCTCCACCACCCCCCCCCACAACGCTCCACCACCACCCATAACGCTCCACCACCCGCCCCACAACGCTCCACCACCTCCTATAACGCTCCACCCCCCCCCCCCCCACAACGCTCCACCACCACCCATAACGCTCCACCACCCCCCACAACGCTCCACCACCACCCATAACGCTCCACCACCCCCCCACAACGCTCCACCACCTCCTATAACGCTCCACCCCCCCCACAACGCTCCACCACCACCCATAACGCTCCACCACCCCCCACAACGCTCCACCACCACCCATAACGCTCCACCACCCCCCCACAACCCTCCACCACCTCCCACAACGCTCCACCTCCCCCCACAACGCTCCACCACCACCCATAACGCTCCACAACGCTCCACCACCCCCCTAACGCTCCACTACCCCCCACAACGCTCCACCACCCCCCACAACGCTCCACCACCCCCCACAACGCTCCACCACCCCCCACAACGCTCCACCACCACCCATAACGCTCCACCACCCCCCACAACGCTCCACCACCCCCCACAACGCTCCACCACCCCCCACAACGCTGCACCACCACCCATAACGCTCCACAACCACCCATAACGCTCCACAACCACCCATAACGCTCCATCACCACCCATAACGCTCCATCACTTCCAATAACACTATCCATAACGTACGCTCCAACACTACACATTATATTCCACTACCACACACTTCGCTCCACCACCACCCACCCAGTGTTCTGCAAAACCATCCACAACACTTCAGCACCACCTACTACGCTCCACAACTACTACCCACAATGTTCCACCACCATCCACAACACTCTGCAACTATCCACTATGATCCACCATCACTCATTATTCATCAACATCACCTAGAACGCTCCCGTACCACCCGCTACGCACCTCCACTACCCCATGTCGCTCCACAAACAAGTGCTATGCTCCACTTCCACCCCACTATGCTCCACGACTTCTCACTATGCTTCGTCACTATGCACTATGCTCCATCCATCAGTCGCCTTGAGTTGATCATCTATCAACCCTTGCTTGATGGTGTGGTGGTGGTGGTGAAGGTGGTGGTGGTGGTGGTGGGGTTGGTGTGTTGGGGGTGGGGCGTGGGGAGGTGGAGGGGGGTACTTGTTCTACTTATAAGTACTTACCTATCAGTGTCTACATGTGGGCGGGGGGCTCTCTTTATGCCCCGCCTACTAGCCATCTATTATGTTTCGTTATAATTTAACTAATCTGATGACAGAATTATTTGTCGAATCTGGACATAAAGTTGTGAATGGAGGTGGCTTCCACAGCTTCTTTCAGTGCACTCTCCTTGTTGACAACATGTACAGGGTACGAGTGTTTCCTTACATTTCTTTGACTGTTTCAATCCCAGCCACTTGGGCTGGACGGTAGAGCGATAGTATCGCTTCTGGCAGGTCGCCGTTCAATCACCGACCGTCCAAGTGGTTGGGCACAATTCCTTCCCTTCGTCCCATCCCAAATCCTTATTCTCATAGCCGTAATGGTTTAGCGCTTTCTCCTGATAATTACCTTACGTTATCGGCGGGAAACAGAGCTAAGGCCAAAGAGATATCTTGCAGGCAAGTGCAGGTATAGTATTTAGAGAACACTACAGCAGGTAAAAGAACATTGATCGAGTTCAACTCATCCAATCATACACAAAAGTTGTATCAATCAACAATTTGAGTATTATTATTATTGGCTATCACAGGACCACATTATTATTGGTTATCACAGGACCACATTATCATTAGCTATCACAGAACCCCATTATTATTAACTATCACAGGATCACATTGTTATTAGCTATGTTCTGGCCTGAGGGGGTTGGGGCTTATGGAACTCAAACATCCAAAGAGAGCTCTGGTTGCTGCACCAGACTGTTACTTGCGGACAACGTCCCTCAACCACTCTCTGCCGGAACAGACAACCAACCTTGGCAGCCACATCCCCGCCACCGTTGGTCGACCAGCAATGAACACTGGAGTGCTTGAAATTTACTCAGGAGATCACCCTGTACGGCTATTGATCTCAGAGAGTGGTTCAGCATCACACGTTTAGGGGTGTGGCTCCAACACTGGCCTCGTAGTCCTGTGTACACACCCTACTTGAACCGCAGTGA